TGCGGTGGATACTGTTTTGGATACTGTTAGGGGGGATGACCTACCAGGGGAAGGCCATAGCGGACAGGTGTCTGGCACTGAGCCTGGCCTATGGCAAAGAAGGGAAGGGGGGAGAATAGGAGAGCAATTGTAGTGGGGGACTCGATATTAAGAGGCACAGACAGGCGGTTCTGTGAACGCAAACAAGACGAGCGGATGGTATGTTGCCTCCCGGGTCCCAGGGTCCATGATGTCTCGGATCGTGTCTTCAAGATCCTTAAGGGGGAGGGTAAGCAACCAGCAGTCATGGTACACATCAGTACCAATGACATAGGTAGAAAACGGACTGAGAATGTGAAAAACGAGTACAGGGAGTTAGGTTGGAAGCTGAAGTCCAGGACAAACAGGGTAGTTTATCTCTGGATTACTACCAGTGCCACATGATAACAAGGTAAGAAACAGGGACAGAGTGCAGCTAAACACGTGGCTACAGGACTGGTGTAGGAGGGAGGGCTTCCATTGTGTGGATAATTGGAGCACCTTCTGGGGAAGGTGGGACCTGTACAGTAAGGATGGGTTTGCACCTGAACCAGAAGGGCACAAATATCCTGGGACGGAGGTTTGGTCGAGCTATACGGGATGGTTTAAACCAGATTGGCAGGGGCTGGGGAACCAGATTAGTCATTCAGAGGATGAGGTATTCAGCCTTCCAATGGACACAACAGGGAGTGAGGTTGTTAATAAAGAAATGTGGTCGATGGAGCGTAATTGTGGACATAGGGATGGTTTCAAGTGTGTATACTTCAATGCTAGAAGTACCAGAAATAAGGCGGATGAACTTCGAGCATGGGTCAGTACTTGGAACTATGATGTTGTGGCCATTACAGAAACTTGGGTAAGTCAGGGACAGGAATGGTTGTTTGAAGTTCCAGGATTTAGATGCTTTAAAAGAAGTAGGGAGGGTGGTAAAAGAGGCGGCGGAGTGGCATTGCTAGTCAGGGCGAGTATAGCAGCTACTGAAAGGCAGTTCGAGAATGATATGTCTACAGAGTCAGTTTGGGTTGAGGTCAGGAACAAGAAAGGAGCAGTCACTTTCTTGGGGGTTTTTACAGACCCCCTAATAGTTGCAGAGAAGTGGAGGAGCGGATTGTGAGGCAGATACTGGAAAGGTGCAGAAGTCACAGGGTTGTAGTCATGGGTGACTTCAACTTTCCAAATATTGATTGGAAACTTTTTAGATGTAATAGTTTAGATGGAGCAGATTTTGTCCAGTGCATTCAGGAAGGATTCCTGACACAGTATGTAGATAGACCAACACGAGGAAAGGCCACTTTGGATTTGGTGCTTGGCAATGAACTGGGCGAAGCTTTAGACCTGTTGGTCGGAGAGCATTTTGGCGGTAGTGATCATAACTCTGTTACTTTTACAATAGTCATGGAAAAGGATAGGTACATAAAGCAGGGTAAGGTTTATAATTGGGGGAAGGGTAATTGTAATTCTGTTAGGCAAGAACTGAGTAACATAAAATGGGAACAGATGTTGTAAGGGAAGAGCACTACAGAAATGTGGAGATTGTTTAAGGAATGCATACTGCGTGTGATTGATATGTTTGTCCCGAGCAGGCAGGGAAGATGTGGTCGAGTGAGGGACCCTTGGTTCTCGAGAGAGGTCAAACGACTGTTTAAGAGGAAGAAGGATGCTTATATTAGGTTTAGGAAACAAGGATCGGAAAAGGCTCTGGAGGGATACAAGTTAGCCAGGAAGGAGCTGAAGAAAGGGCTGAGGAGACCTATAAGGGGGCATGAGAAAACCTTGGCAGATAGGATCAAGGAAAACTTGATCAAGGAAATGTGGCAGATTGGATTCAGAATTGGCTGACCCTTAGAAGACAAAGGGTGGTAATGGATGGAAAATATTCAACATGCTCATTTATGAGTGGTGTACCACAAGGATCTGTTCTGGGTCCTCGTCTATTTGTGATTTTTGTAAATGATTTGGATGTAGGAGTGGAAGGGTGAATTAGTAAATTCGCGGATGATACGAAGGTGGGTCGAGTTGTGGATAGTGCGGATGGATGTTCTAGGTTACAAAGGGACATTGATAGAATGCAGAGCTGGGCTGAGAAGTGGCAGATGGAGTTGAACCCTGAAAAGTGTGAGGTGATTCATTTTGGAAGCAGAATACAGGGTTAACGGAAAGATTCTTGACAGTGTGGAGGAGCAGAGGGATCTTGGGGTTCATGTCCACAGTCCCCTGAAAGCTGCCACCCAGGTGGATAGAGTTGTTAAGAAGGCACACAGTGTGTTAGCTTTCATTAATGGAGGGATTGAGTTCAAGAGCCGTGAAGTTATGCTCCAGCTATACAAAAGCCTGGGTTGGCCACATCTGTGTCCAGTTCTGGTCACCTCATTACAGGAAAAATGTGGAAGCATGGGAAAAGGTGCAGAGGAGATTTACCAGGATCTTGCCTGGAATGGAGGGAAGATCTTACGAGGAAAGGTTGAGAGAGCTATGGCTTTTCTCTTTAGAACGACAAAGGGTGAGTGTTGACTTGATAGAGATGTACAAAATGATCAGAGGTACAGATGGACAGCCAGAGAAGTTTTCCTTGGGTGGAAGTAACTATTACGAGGGGACATAGTTTTAAAGCAAGTGGAGGTAGATATAGAGGAGACGTCAGAGGTAGGTTCTTTACACAGAGAGCCGGAGGGGTGTGGAATGCATTGCTGGAGAGGGTAGTAGAGTCAACCTCATTTGGGGCATTTAAGTGGCTATTAGATGGGGAAATGGATGATAGTATAAGGTAGGGGTGGAGGTGAGATAGACCTTAGGTTTACGGTAAAAGTTTGGCACAACATCATGGGCCAAAGGGCCTGTACTGTGCTGTACTGTTCTATGTTCTGTGTTTACCTTATTGGACTTGGATCAGAGACTTACGTAGCAGTACCTCATTGCTCCTCATCCAAATAAGGCTTTTGTATTAATTAATTTTTTTTGCAAAACTTGGTTGGTACCAGATGGTGCTGAGCGTCTCAGGCAAGCTCCTAGATCTGGGTTATCCTCAGTTCACAAGCTGCTTCCTTCTTTATGTCAGCATTTTTTTAACATCCAGTATCTCCTGTTCGCGATATTTGTGACTGGCACCCCCTATCGCCACCTTTCTCTCTGCAGCATCTGGTCAGCATCTCCCAGGCAGCGATGTCAGCAGCATTTCTCCCTACCCCTCTGCCTCTCCGTCTCCCTCTGTCATCAGCCCCTGGCTAACAGTTTTAAGAAGATTACACAAGCCCACTTTCTCAAGGACAGTTGGGAGATGGTCATTAAAATGTTGGCCTTGGGCAGCACGACCCAAAACCACACAGTAACCAAAAAATTAAATGGGCAAGTAATAAAACAAGAGAGCACTATCTCTTTGAGGGGTGAGAATGGAAGGTCAACGAGCACTTTCCATCCAAAATTGAAACCAAGAGAAAAATACATTTGAAGGAAAAATTAGGACAAGTTTCACCACAGCTCAAGAGGATGCCAACTCTCTTGACTTGATCCCAATCAAAACCACAGTGGCAGGGATAGCTGTGGTTTAGCTAAGGAATAAAGCACATTCTACACTCTCCATATAAAATGCTACCAGGAGAGGTACAGCCCAGGATTAGATACAGAGTAAAGTTCATTCACACTGACCATATCAAACATTGATAGGACAGGTACAGCATGGGATTAGATACAGAGTAAAGTTCCTTCCACACTGTCACAAGCAAACATGCTCAGGAGAGGTACCACAAAGTTTGTAATGAAAAGTAAAGCTTGCTCAACACTGTCCCAATCAAATATGGTCAGAGTCAAGTGCAGTGACAAGATAAGTATGAGAAACTTTACTCTTGTTCAGCACAAACCCTGTTTCCAAACTCCATTCTCTGATGATCTGTCTGTATTTCTCACTATCACACTCCTGGGTTCACACCCACCAGTCACCCTCCGCATCAATGATCCATGTTTGATGATTGGACTCAGGAGCCCCTTCATCATGAGAACTTGTGGAGCTGAATGCAGTCAGGTGACAGCACAACAACTCACAGCCATTCCTATTGGCCCAAATGGACCAGGCCCTCCTGGTAAGAAATCCATGAGTTCACTCATTGGTGGAAATTGCAGAGACTGGGGCTGGTTCATTGTTCAGTGTTGCTGCTTCTGGTCTGATCGGTGTCAGGTGAGTGCAGGTTGTGTGTATAAAAGGAGCTGGGTGGGGGCTGGAAGGGATGGTTGAATTGTTTGGGATCATGGGGGATTTTGTAGTGAGGGGTTTGTTCCCTGTGCTGGTGTTAGTTGGAGCTGTTTGTTGCTCTGAAACTTGGCAACAGCTACTGAGCCAGCAGTTTCCATGGAGAATAGTGAGAGCTACCCCTGTGCCTGAGAGTCCCTCCTCATGGGTGTCCTATTGGTTCCAGTTTCAGAATGTCTGAGGGTGGGAGTGTGTCTCCACT